TTATTTTTCCTAAGTTCTTTATTAATTTTTTCATATACATGTTTTATATATGGAAAGCTTAAGTATTTAATTTTCTTTTCTGCATCTTTTTTGGAAGGAAAAGGAACTTTATTATCTATGTTTTTTTGCCAATTGTTGATTAATCTTGTAGGATATCCATTCAAACTAAATTTCTTTTTTAGACTGTTTATATATTTCTGTTTTGTCTCTTGTTCACTTAAAAAAAAAAAAAGTCACTTCATTGTGCCTGTACACAATAGACAAGTAATTATATAAATATATAATAATAATAATAATAATATTACGATAATATGATCAATAGTCGAAAGTCTGCAAGTATAATTTCTTCTTAAACATGATTATTAAAGACAAACGGACTGCCGAATTATTTGGCTATTAGCTTGATGTTTTTATTAAATTAATGAAAGCAGCCGAGGTAGATAAATGAAGAATATTAGAGAGAAAAAGAAATACAACAATCTCGAAAACGACCTAGAAATCTTCCAGGATATAGGCGAAAAAACACGCATCATCTGTCTTTTCTTAAATGCATTACACGGATCCGCTCACATCAATTGAATCGGAATGGCATTCTCAGTAGCAGGACTTTTCGTTACTAAATAAGAATCAGATTATGAAATCGAGGTAATCACCATTTTTGCTTTTTAAAATCCTCATATGTACATCAGCATATATACATCGTTATATATGATCCGTGCGAATTTCATGAATTATTTTTGCCACGAAAATATTTTATGACGATTTATCAATTAGCTAATTAATCGCGCTATTGTTTTTTATGGGAGTTTTTTAATAAAATTAATTAAATCGTTCTAAACTTCTATTTCACCTATTTGACTTCGGTAAAATTATTTAAAACGTCATTGGATGTTTTTTATGACATCAGCAGGATTTTTGTTTTTTGTTCAGTAGAATTTTTTCACCATACCATTATTTCGGTCCCCTCGTAATTTAATTAATAAATCGACAATATTGTGTTATATTTGAACAGATGCAATAAGTTAGCTCCCCTCCTGCTTTAGACCAATATTCCCCTAAACTTTAGGGGAATATTGGTCTAAAGCAGGAGGGGAGCTAACTTATTGCATCTGTTCAAATATAACACAATATTGTCGATTTATTAATTAAATTACGAGGGGACCGAAATAATGGTATGGTGAAAAAATTCTACTGAACAAAAAACAAAAATCCTGCTGATGTCATAAAAAACATCCAATGACGTTTTAAATAATTTTACCGAAGTCAAATAGGTGAAATAGAAGTTTAGAACGATTTAATTAATTTTATTAAAAAACTCCCATAAAAAACAATAGCGCGATTAATTAGCTAATTGATAAATCGTCATAAAATATTTTCGTGGCAAAAATAATTCATGAAATTCGCACGGATCATATATAACGATGTATATATGCTGATGTACATATGAGGATTTTAAAAAGCAAAAATGGTGATTACCTCGATTTCATAATCTGATTCTTATTTAGTAACGAAAAGTCCTGCTACTGAGAATGCCATTCCGATTCAATTGATGTGAGCGGATCCGTGTAATGCATTTAAGAAAAGACAGATGATGCGTGTTTTTTCGCCTATATCCTGGAAGATTTCTAGGTCGTTTTCGAGATTGTTGTATTTCTTTTTCTCTCTAATATTCTTGATTTATCTACCTCGGCTGCTTTCATTAATTTAATAAAAACATCAAGCTAATAGCCAAATAATTCGGCAGTCCGTTTGTCTTTAATAATCATGTTTAAGAAGAAATTATACTTGCAGACTTTCGACTATTGATCATATTATCGTAATATTATTATTATTATTATTATATATTTATATAATTACTTGTCTATTGTGTACAGGCACAATGAAGTGACTTTTTTTTTTTTTAAGTGAACAAGAGACAAAACAGAAATATATAAACAGTCTAAAAAAGAAATTTAGTTTGAATGGATATCCTACAAGATTAATCAACAATTGGCAAAAAAACATAGATAATAAAGTTCCTTTTCCTTCCAAAAAAGATGCAGAAAAGAAAATTAAATACTTAAGCTTTCCATATATAAAACATGTATATGAAAAAATTAATAAAGAACTTAGGAAAAATAA